GGCTGACCGGACGGCGCGGGCTGACCAGGCCGCACGGCAGCCGGGGCTCCGGTGTGGCCCTGTGCTGGACGCCTTGCTGCCTGGGCGGAGGAGGACCAGGCCACAGATGAGCCCCGCGGCCTCCGGCATCCATGCGGTCCTGCAGGATGCACGGGGGAGACTTTTCTCTCCCCACAGCTTTCTGTCAGACACTAAAACTGCTGAGCTGAAAGACGCAGAATGCCAGGGCAGGTGCAGAGGTGGCGTGGCGACCGGGGCTTCGGGAGCCTGCGGTGGGCCCCCCGGCCACGGAGCCCTGGGGAGGAGAGCGGGGAGCTGGCCCCAGAGTTCCGTGGACGCAGGTGTCCCACAGGCCTCCTCAGAATGACGGACTGACGGAGGAGCCGTTTGTGCAGCCGGGGACGGGGGAGAGGGAGCGAAGCTGGGGGGCAGTGCGCATTCTCGGCATCCCCAGCACTCACGGGCCCCTCCCCGGCGGGTGGAGTGGAAGGGTGTCCCTGCAAGAGCCGGCGAGTTCCGGCCCCGTGAGGCATCACGGTGGGCTTAGAGGCTGTCTCTGCTGGGCTTTGAGTGGACGCCGCCCGTCCAGCCTCCTGCAGCAGCCAGACCCATGCAGGACCGGCCAAGGGCCTGTGGGGCATGGCTTCTGTCTCCGCCGTGGACGGGGCTCCCTGGTCAGACGGTGGCAGGGCAGATCTGCGGGTTGTCTGGGGAGGGAGGGAAGGTGTGGGGGGCACAGCCAGGCCCGGGGATCTGCCCATGGCAGGGATCCAAGCCCCGGACGCAGGGATCGTACAAACCCCAGGCTGCTGCGGGACCTGGAGGCTTCCAGAGCACTCCTGGGTGGAGAAGATGTGGAGTGTGCTCGGTGTCCTCCGTCTGCTGTGTGTGGTCCAGCCGGGATGGCCACAGCCTTCACCCTGCCAGGCTGGGGAGGGCCCACCTTCACGATGGCCTGGGAGGAGACCGGCTGTCCTGCGGGCACCTCCAGGCCTCTGTGCTTGCAGCGGAAAGCAGAAGCCTAGCCGATAGTTGTGTGAGCTCAGAAGTGGCCGAGGAGGGGCACGTGCTGTTAGATAGACAGGCCCGTTCCTGGGCTCCCCCTCTGCCGGGGGATGGACGACCGTTGAAGCTATGTGACAGCGTATGGCCCATCTGCCCACGATGCATAAAACCAACTCCAGAAGAAGTGCTGCACGTGGCAATCTGGTCTCCCTGTGGTTCTCGAGGGAAATATGAAGAAAACCACACGTCCCTGTAGCCCAGCCCGCGCGTGGGCTGGCTGCCGTGAATGGAAAGTGGGCCGCGGCACGGCAGTGCCCTGAGGGGAATGCCCGCTGGTCAAGGCTTCTCCACGCCGGGACCTGCTCCTGGAAACAATCCTCAGAGGGAGGGTAGAAGCTTCCTGAGTTTCCTTCGGGGGAAGGAGGCTCGAGAGACCGGGCTCTCCTTCCGACTCCTTCCAGGAATCAGCCCTTCCCTCGGCACCCGGGGCATCTGGCCTCTGCTGCTGTGGCGCCACAGCTCTCCCAGGCGGGCGAGTGCCAGCGAGGCTGTCCCAGATCCCTCCTGCCATGCCTGGTCCGGACAGCAGCAGATCAGACGAGGCTCTGGGCAGAGCACGCTCTCTCAGGGGCTCCTCCTTCTGGCTCCCCATTTCCAGATGCCTAATGAATGTGCCTCACAAATCTCAAATGAAAATATCGACAACCAAACCATCACGGATCCCCCGTTACGGCCTAATGTCGGGGTCCCGCAGGAGACGAGCACTTGAACAGGATCGTTAAGGTCCGGCAAGGTCCTAAGGCGCCCGGAACCAACGATACTAACAGAGGCCTCCTGTGCAAGTGAGGAGAGAACTTCCCTGGAGCCCCTCCTGCCGGGCCTGGGTCTCCGATCACAGCCCCCAGAGCCCCGGGAGACTGCTGTGTCCCAGGGGCCTTTGCTGGTAAATCGCACAGCCTGGCCCTTCTGCTGGGGCAGAAGTGCCTGGCAGCCACCCCCTCCCCGCCTCCTCCTCTGGCGCCCTTGCTTTGCTGTGTACACCTTTCTCAAGCCTTCCTTCCCCAGGTGCAGTCCCAGAGCCTCAGGTGACCCCAGGTGCAGTCCCAGAGCCTCAGTAAGGCTGCGGCCCACGTCTACCTCCCAAAGATGTGCTCCTCCTCCTTCAGCGCTGGTCTCTGGTGTCCCGACTACTCCACACCCAGGGACCAGGGGCCTCAGAGACCCTGGTGCGGGCCGTGCCGTGGCCGCCGCCACCAGATTACACTCCCCTCCTGAATTAGGAAAACAGAGGCCCTTTGGCCTCTGCTTGAGGCTGGGGGAAGCCTTCCTCTGACGCACATTGAGAGCACAGCTGTTCTGAGAGACAGATTTCCATGGAATGCTCTGTTAAGACCCAGCAATTCCCAAAGTCAAAACGAAGGGGTTCCTCTTAAGATCAGCTCTGCCTTTGTGCAGACACGACTTAGCTCAGGAGCTAGGGTGTGAAGGAGACCCCCAGCTTCGGGTCAAGAGGCAGGGGTTACTCCAGACGCCCTGAGGCTGGGCTGAGCGGTGGGGACCTGGGACGTGTGGAAGAGTGGCTTCAGGCACAGCAGGCCTGAGGGCTGCAGACATTGGTCTGTTTCTGGTCCCTGCTTGTGCACCGGAGAGGCGAGGCGCATCTCCGCAGACTGCATCTCATCTCCGCTGGGGAGACGTGTGAAGAGGGAAGGGGTGGGCTCCCCGCCCGTGGGGGTGGGGGTGGGGCCTCCGCGCCTGCAGAGCCAGGTGGCCGAGACGCTCCCCAGGGATTGCAGGAGGGCCAGCACCTAGTCGGCATCTCTGCGGTGCGATCCACACCGGCACGCACGGTCCTGCGTTTCCTCCCTGGGTCTCAGTGGCCAGCCGCCAGGGACTCTATGCTGAGCATGACTTGGCGCCTGTGTTTGGCTCTGCCGCAGGGCGCCGCACTGGACACAGCGTCTGTCGCTCTGGCTCCCCGTCCCACACAAGTCCTGGTCTACCTCCTTCCCGGCACCTGCTGCCACCCGGCCGTCATCGGGTTGGGGTGCGGCCACTGCGCCGTTCCCTGGACGTCTGTGGCCCCCATAGACCCGGGGCCCAAAAGGGGATTGGCTGAGCCCCCAGGTGCGTGGCGCCCACAGGGAGCAGCCGCGGAACCTGGCTGAGGTGCAGATGCGTTTCCAGCCTGCGCAGGGATCTGTTAGGATGTGTCTGAGTCTCTGTCAGCTACTGGGGTGAGGAACAGGACAGGCGTTCAAACCTCACAATGCCCAGCGCCATCTTCTCTGCACGCCGGGCTGCCTTTTAGTTGTAGCCAAGATGAATGCTGCCCTCCACAGAGAGCCCCTGTGTGCCGGCGGGCACCTGTGGGCTTAAAATCTGCTTCTTATGGTGGATCCCCTGAAGACACTGCCTGACAAACACACTGAGAGCTTTGCCATCTTCTCCTAAACATCCCAGGTTTGCTGCGGTCTGTGCTGGGTTTCCGGGGGGGATGCACCAGGGACCCTTTCTACCCAGCACCAGCAAGTCCAGGTCTCCCAGCAGGACTCAGGGCCAGGAACCCCACAGGAAGGACCCTGGCCAGGCTCGGACCCCACCAGCGGTGCGTCAGGACCCCTCCCCGCCCCGCACCCTCACCTGCGGTGTGTCAGGAAGGACCCGCTGACGTGCCCAGAGCCGTCGCAGCCCGGGGTGGGGCAGGACATGCCCTCGGTCTTCACGGACTTCCAGGAGAACTGTGAGCCATTGAGGTACCCGTCCTTCTGCCGCTTGGCGGCCAGCGGGCAGCCGGAGGCGCTGCGGTGCGACGCGTACTTGCCCGTGATGTGGCCCTGCCCGTCACAGCCGGGCACCGGACACCTGTGGGGACACGGACGGACCGCGTTAGCCTCCTGGCCTGACTTCCGGGACCGAGGGAAGCCAGCCTGGTGTGGGAGGAATCGAACCCCTGTCCTCCCAGCCCAGAGAAGAGGACACAGCAGAAAGAGGGCCCAAGGCACCCCCTAGTGGGGACATGAAGTATTACTCCGTGGGGAGAAGGTTCTGGAAGGGGTCTGGCTGTGAGGGGCCCCTGGTGTAGAGGCTGTGAGGGTGGCTGGACAGAGCCAGGGCAGGGCAAGGCGTGGGTGTGGCCAAGGCCAGCCCATGGGTAGAATTACACCAGAGGGGCCTGCTACACATGGCCACCAAGAGCTGGAGAGCACTCTGGAGGACACAATGCCCCAGGGGGCCGCGGGGCCATAGGGCCTCCCTGAGGCCCGGGGATGGAGGGGGCAGAGGCGGGGGACGAGCTGGGCAGGGGCGGGGCTGGGGTGTCCAGCTGCAGCTGCAAGCTCGCTAGGCAGATTTCCTGGCCCTGGGCAGGGGCTGAGGTGCCGGATAGGAAGATGACTTCCTTTGTGTCTTTCTTCACGGCTCTGGTGACCTAGCCCACAGATTTACCTGCATTTCTTTTCTTTTTCTCTCTTTCTTTTTCTCTCTCTCTTTCTCTTTCATCATGGGGTCCGAACTCTGGGCCTGGGCACTGTCCCTCAGCTCTTCAGCTTAAGGTTAGCGCTCTACCACTTGAACCACAGCACCACTTCTGGCTTTTTCTGCTTATGTGGTGCTGAGGAATCGAACCCAGAGCCTCATGTATGCAAGGTAAGCACTCTACCACTGAGCCACCTTCCCAGCCCCTGCATTTCTTTCGGTCATCTGTGTTATCATTCCACAGCAACTCATATTTCCTAGGCATTTTGATAAGCTTTAATTTCTCTTACCTCTTAACTTTTAGACTAATATTTGTCTCTAAAGCTATTGAGGTGGACATTCCAGGAAGCCCCCCAGCTCTTCTTGTGGGTTTCTGAGACGCAGCCACGCAGGCTCGGACAGGGCCGGCACTCGCTCAGGGGGGCCCCCGTGAGTCAGCCTTCATGGGGTGTCATGCTTAGTCCCTTGGCAATCTCTCAAGAGTCTGATGTCCCCAGGAAACCCTGTGGGGGGTGGCAGTGTCTTATGGTTTGGGGTACACAAACACTAGTGGGCAATGTTACTGTGTCTCAGCCTGCCGGCAGGCACCTTCTGCGTTTCCCGGCCTACTAGCCTATGAAAGCCCAGCCAATGCCTGCTGTGGCCTGTATTTTCTGGGACTTTACCGGGTGCTTCCACATCCCAGCCTCCACGACCTGGCCTCTACATCCTGGCCTCACCGGCCACATACCTGATGGGCTCCTGGTCTTCCTTGTCTTCTTTGCTCTGTGCTATCCGAATGCCACTTTTCTTGGCCCTCGGGCATCCTGAAAGGCTAAAGGTAAAACATGTTTTAGAAACAGCCCACCTGCAGATTTGGCACCGTCTCCTAGCCTGGCCTGGCTCTAGCTCAAGTTTCTGGGGAGACAGGATGGAGGTCCAGAGAGATGAGTTTCATCTGCTGCTCCTCGAGGAGCCAGGAGCCTGGGGAGCTGGGTGCCTCACTCAGGGCAAAACAAATGGCCTTGAAACGGGAGCCGTTGGTGGATCACCTCTGTAATCCCAGCCGCTCAGAAGGCTGAGGTCTGAGAACCATGGAACCGGCCTGGACAGACAAATGCACAAGACTCATGTCCAGGCAAGCAGCAAAAAGCTGGAAGTGAAGATGTGGCTCAAGTGTTAGTGTGAGCCTTGAGTGAAAAAGCCAAGAGGGAGAGCAAAGAAGTTGGTGAGCTGAGGCTGGCCAGAAAAGATGTCAGAAGAATGGTTCCCCAGGGAGACGGGGACAGGGCGGAGCAGAGCACACAGCCCAGGACTGGGAGGGGGCGGAGCCAGAGCACAGCCCAGGACTGGGAGGGCGTGGAGCCAGAGCACACAGCCCAGGACCGGGGAGGGGGCGGATCCAGAGCACACAGCCCAGGACTGGGAGGGGGCGGAGCCAGAGCACACAGCCCAGGACTGGGAGGGGGCGGAGCCAGAGCACAGCCCAGGACAGGCTCAGGTCTTGTCCCTCAGGGGACCCTGGAGGCTGAAGCCACTTATTTCATTGCTGGTTTTCCCTCCTGTATCTCCTTGTCCACCCTGCCCAGGTAGCGCAGATGCTGACTCCTAGAGCTCCTGGTTGGGGGCAGTGTGGCTTCTCCCGAGGGTGCTCAGGACTTCCTAGCTGTTCATCCTGGTGCCCCGCCCCCATGCATCCGGTCTGAGCGTCACTCTCTGCTCTGCTGACCGCTGACATGCTTTCTCCCCCAGCCCTGAGTCCTGGTGCTTCCTACATCCCGCCCAGCCTCCCGCCCGAGTCTGTGTGCCCTGCCCTATGCTGTCCCCTGCCTTGGAGTTGGATCCTCCAAGGCGCCTGCAGCCTCCCTACTTTGAGAGTGCCATGGGGCCCTGCAAAGCCTGCTCTCTGTTCTCCAGGGTCCTCAGCCAAGGGAGGCAAAGCCTCTGGGTACCCGAGCCCAGGCCCTGGACTGAGCAAGGGCAGACCAGCCCCCCCCCCCCCAGGCCACATTCACTCCTGGCACAGCAGGCTGACTGCGGCCGCGGCGACCACAGGTGGCCTTTCTGCTGCTGGCAGAGGGGCGCCTTCTCTGAACATGGTGCTAAAATGACAAGGCGACGGCCTGACAGGTCCACCACGGCCCCACGTTTGAGCCCCCCAGTAAGTGACTTGTTCTGTCCTGGCGGCCCTGGAGGTAGAGAAGCAACGCAGGTTCTGTGCTCTAGGGGTGTGAGAGGCTCCTGCCCGCTGGAGCTCACGGGCCGTGGGAGGCTCCTGTCAGCACCAGGGTCCATCTCTGTCTCCTTATGTGACTCGCGCCTCCTTCCCCCCAACACCCTCCTCTCTCCACTCGCCTCTGTCTTAGGCCCCAGCCTTTTTCTTTTTGTTTTTCCTTGCCAGTCCTGGGTCTTGAACTCAGGCCTGGGCGCTGTCCCTGAGCTTCTTTATCTCAAAGCTAGCGCTCTACCACGTGAGGTGAGCCACAGCCCCACTTCCAGCTTTTTCTGCATATGTGGTACCAAGGAATCGAACCCAGGGCTTCGTGCTTGCTAGGCGAGCATTCTACCACTGAGCCACCTTCCCAGCCTGGCCCCAGCCTTTTCCAACACACTTGTTTGCTTTCCTGCCCTGCCCTCCAGTGATCATCTGTGGAGGCAGGGGTATTCTGAGACGCCACGCTTTCCTAGCGTCTGGTGGATAAACAGCTGGGGGATGTACTTGGTTTCTAGAATTCTGTGTGGACATTTGGAATGATCCCAGATTTCCCAAAGAGACACTGCTGGCCACAGTTCACTGTTTCCATGTACAGTCCCAGTATGTATCTACATTTTCACGTGAGATGTAGGTGCTCGGTGTCATGAGGACGTTACAGAGGTCACTCAGTGTCATGAGGACGTTACAGAGGTCACTCGGTGTCATGAGGACGTTACAGAGGTCACTCGGTGTCATGACGACGTTACAGAGGTCACTTGGTGTTGGAGGACGTTACAGAGGTCACTCAGTGTCATGAGGACGTTACAGAGGTCACTTGGTGTTGGAGGACGTTACAGAGGTCACTCAGTGTCATGAGGACGTTACAGAGGTCACTCGGTGTTGGAGGACGTTACAGAGGTCACTTGGTGTTGGAGGACGTTACAGAGGTGACTGGTGTTGGAGAACGTTACAGAGGTCACTCGGTGTTCAGAGAATTGTTGTTTTTGGCTGTTCCTGCAGCAGACCCCAGTACTCCAGGGTAAAAATCAAAATGGAGTCACTTACATAAGTTCAGGTCCCCAGTGGGAGAGGGCTGCTTCTGTGACCTGTGGTCAGGGATTAGATGCCGCAGCTCTGTGATCTGTGACCGGTGGTCTGGGATTAGACACGGCAGCTCTGTGATCTGTGACCTGTGGTCTGGGATTAGACACGCAGCTCTGTGATCTGTGATCGGTGGTCTGGGATTAGACCTGCAGCTCTGTGATCTGTGACCTGTGGTCTGGGATTAGACCTGCAGCTCTGTGATCTGTGACCTGTGGTCAGACACCACAGTGCAGTCCCTCTGCCTGACCCCCACAGCTGGGAGACACGCGAATCCTTGTTGTGCTCCTGCTTTTCAGGAGAGTAACCGGAAATGACCTGAGCTCATGGGCCTCTGCCTCCCAGCCTCTGGCCGCTCGAGTGCTGCTGTTTGTGGGGTGACGTCACACGACCCTGGAGCTGACGTAAGGCCAGTTAGGACCTTTAGTGGCGGTGTCCACCATAGACAGCAGTAAGTGTCTGGGACACCTGCCGTCTGTGGGTGAGAGACAGCCTGGGGGCTTGGTGGCCCACAGCTCCAGATGGGGTGAGGAGAAGCTGTGGGAGGCTGGCTTCTATGCCCCGCAGAGGACTCACATGCACAGGCCGGCAATGCTTCTGGGCTGGCCGTCAACATGGGCAGAGGGCAGAGGCAGTGCGGGCCGTGAGCAGGCGCAGAGCGGTGGACACAGCAGTGCAGGCCGTGAACAGGCCCAGAGCGGTAGACGCAGCAGCGTGGGCCGTGAGCAGGTGCAGAGCGGTGGACGCAGCAGCGCAGGCTGTGAACAGGCCCAGAGCAGTGGACGCAGCAGTGCGGGCCGTGAGCAGGCCCAGAGCGGTGGACGCAGCAGTGCAGGCCGTGAGCAGGCACAGAAAGGTGGACGCAGCAGCGTGGGCCGTGAGCAGGCGCAGAGTGGTGGACGCAGCAGTGCAGGCCGTGAGCAGGCCCAGAGACGCAGCAGCGTGGGCCGTGAGCAGGCGCAGAGTGGTGGATGCAGCAGTGCGGGCCGTGAGCAGGCCCAGAGTGGTGGACGCAGCAGCACGGGCCGTGAGCCGGTGCGGAGCAGTGGACGCAGTGCAGGCTGTGAGCAGGTGCAGAGTGGTGGACGCAGTGCGGGCCATGAGCAGGCCCAGGTGGACGCAGCAGCGTGGGCCGTGAGCAGGCGCAGAGTGGTGGACGCAGCAGTGCAGGCCGTGAGCAGGCCCAGAGAGGTGGACGCAGCAGTGCGGGCCATGAGCCGGTGCGGAGCAGTGGACGCAGTGCAGGCCGTGAGCAGGCGCAGAGCGGTGGACGCAGTGCGGGCCGTGAGCAGGCCCAGAGCGGTGGACGCAGCAGTGCAGGCCGTGAGCAGGCGCAGAGTGGTGGACGCAGTGCGGGCCGTGAGCAGGCCCAGAGCGGTGGATGCAGCAGCGTGGGCCATGAGCAGGCCCAGAGCGGTGGACGCAGCAGTGCGGGCCATGAGCAGGCCCAGAGCGGTGGACGCAGCAGTGCAGGCCGTGAGCAGGCGCAGAGTGGTGGATGCAGTGCGGGCCGTGAGCAGGCCCAGAGCGGTGAATGCAGTGCGGGCCGTGAGCAGGCCCAGAGCGGTGGATGCAGCAGTGCGGGCCGTGAGCAGGCGCAGAGCGGTGGATGCAGCAGTGCGGGCCGTGAGCAGGCCCAGAGCGGTGGATGCAGCAGTGCGGGCCGTGAGCAGGCCCAGAGCGGTGGATGCAGTGCGGGCCATGAGCAGGCGCAGAGCGGTGGATGCAGCAGTGCGGGCCGTGAGCAGGCCCAGAGCGGTGGATGCAGTGTGGGCCGTGAGCAGGCCCAGAGCGGTGGATGCAGCGCAGGCCGTGAGCAGGTGCAGAGTGGTGGATGCAGCAGTGTGGGCCGTGAGCAGGCCCAGAGCGGTGGGCGCAGTGCGGTGAACGCAGCAGCAGTGCAGGCCGTGAGCAGGCCCAGAGCGGTGGGTGCAGTGCGGTGGACGCAGCAGCAGTGCAGGCCGTGAGCAGCAGACCCTAGTGGTGAAGACCTTTCCTGGTCTCCTGGCTGTCTCAAGCCTGGTGTTTCATTGTCCCAAGATGTCTGCTTACAACAGGACTTAGGATTTTCCAAGGACACAGGAGAGACTGCCCACTTTCAGACGGAGCCCAGGACAGGGTCCAGGATGGGAGGAGGAGTGGTAGAGAGGATGGGGAAGGGGGACTCCCTGCCTTTGTGTCTCCTGGGCAGGTAGGACAGCAGGGACCCTGAGGAGGGGACTCACATGGTGAGAAGATACCTGCAGTCTGGCCGGCGGTAAGTGCTCTGTGGCTCATCTCTTGTGCTGGTAGTAAGCGCTCTGTGGCTGGTCTCCTGTGTGGGTAGTAAGCGCTCTGTGTCTCGTCTCCTGTGTGGTAGTAAGCGCTCTGTGGCTCCTCTCCGGTGTGGGTAGTAAGTGCTCTGTGGCTGGTCTCCTGTGTGGGTAGTAAGCGCTCTGTGGCTCGTCTCCTGTGTGGTAGTAAGTGCTCTGTGGCTCGTCTCCTGTGTGGTAGTAAGCGCTCTGTGGCTGGTCTCCTGTGTGGTAGTAAGCTGGTCTCCT